CATGAAAAATGTTTCGATTTAAGGTCATGAATTAAGAAGTTCTCTCATCTTCAGTGACATTGTAGACTGATTCAAAAATATTTTGCCAGCTTTCTCTGTCCTCTGCGAGTTTACGGATTCTTTGTAGATCTTCCTTGATTGTAAACTTCTCCAAAGGAAAAGGCGGATCTTTCTGCTTTGTTCTGTGAATGTCTCGTTTCAGCGTTGTGACTACGGTGGTTCTTGGAAGTTTTTGAAGTCAGTCTTTTCAAATTAAAACTTCATAAACATTTTCCAAATATTGTCTCTCTCAGTATACAACGTCTTAGATAAGTAGTTACTGTGTATCAGTAACTGGAGCAGCCATTACCTACTCCGCCAGTATAAGAATATTTTCACGTAGAAATATTGTTTGTATTGTTGTGTTGACGGATTCAACAGTTTTCTTTCTACAACAAATATACCAATAAATCAAAAGAAAATGCTTGAATCCTTCAAAACAATAACACAAATAATATTTCTACACGTGAAAATATTCTCTTCCAACATAAATTGATGTAATTTTTCAGTTGACCACATGAATATACAATAGCGTTTCTAAATTCTTAATTAAAAGAAAAAAATCTTTTAGTTTTAATTATGCAACTACCAACGGAGACAAGCATCCTAACTTTTCTAAATTCTTGTTGCTAACGACATTTTGTTTATTGCCTATAAATACTTTATTTCAATAAAGTCGTTTGTACAGTAGCGATGAAGTGAAGCTAAAATTAAGATGAAAGAAATAACATTAAAAATTCATAATCTTACTTATTATAAAACGCAGATTGTGTGTGTGTGAGTGTACGTTTATATATTGGATCGGATTTCCTACATTTTTCAACCGATTTCAACAAAACTTCACAGGGCTGCGTAAACTTACCTTACGGTGGTTCTGACAGTGCCAAAAATTGGAAAACACTTGTTTTTGCACGAAATCAATTTGAAAACACGATTCTGTCGCCAGAATGAAAGGGGGACAACTCATATCGAGTTATACTTATTATAAAACCGCGGTTGTTTGTTTGTGTGTGTGTGTGTGTGTGTGTTCGTTTATATATGGGATCGGATTTCTACATTTTTCAACCGATTTCAACAAAATTTCAGATTTTTTTTGGCAGGTAGTGTTTCTTATTGTCTTGCACACTTTTTTCTTTATTTTTACATTCAGAATGCTTTAAAAATTCCATTTACAAGACAATTGTTTATAATAAAATTCTATTCAATCGGTAGACTCATAACGATTGAAAACAATGTTTTGTTTGAGTTTGGGTTTCACCAATTCGTAAAAAAAAAAAAACTAATTAAGACATGCGTGTCCATCAATCAACCTTAAACAATAATCTTTGCCAATTTTATTTTTCAGTCTTTATGAAGGTCGGTACTTGATCTATCACTTACTGTTACAATCCCGGGCAATACTGCTAGTAATTAATAAAATTTCTTTTATATAAATTCAAGATAACAGGCTTGTTTGCTAACGACTGTGGAATGAAGGTCTGGATTGTTGCGATGAAAAGTAATTCAAATTAAGATGAAAAAATATTAGTAAAAAACAAATGCATCATGGTTGACATCTGGCAAAAATTCAAGATATGACTACATGCGTAGTGACAGCTGCAAAATGAATAGCTGAGTCGTTGTGATGATATGCAAGATAATATTTCTCTTTGTATGCTTACAACTTAAACTTCCCCGGTACCTGCTGAAAGAAATTTAAGATGAAAGAAATACGAGTCAAATTTGATTTTCTACGTAATTATGTATTACTTTTAGGCTTTGATGTTTATTAAAGTGAAGACTATTTTAAAAATATGGGAGAAGCGAGTTATTTGTCTGCGAGGCGTGTTTGCTGATTTTCACTCTCAGGCGAAGCGAACGAATTGAACGTTTTAATAATTATCTGGCTACAAAGAATTTGAACATTTTTTTAAGCCTTTCACCCCAAGAACGGCGGAAAGCCACTAGCACGCAAGGGGCTACAGAGAGTTGGAGCGGGAGTAAAGAGGAGTGATAGAGGAAAGGATGAAGAGAAGGATAGGGGATAGATCAGGGCATCTGGAGACGTCGATTAACATTACATTTGAATAGTTGGAGATTATAGCTATCAGGGAAACAGGGAGGGAGTTCCACAGGTGAGAATTGTGAGACATGAAGTGATTGGAGTAAAAGAGACGGCTACATTTAACAGTTTCGACAGTGAAAGGGTGAGAGTGAGATGCCAGCCTAGTTGAACGCTTAAATTCATGAAGTCTGGGAACCAGGGAAAGACGCTCATCGGAGCAGTTACCGTGAAAGTAATTGTAAAAATGATAGAGGGAGGCGACGGCACGTCTGTGAGAGAGCGACTGCAGACGAGATGCCAGATCTGGGCCGAATACATTGCATATCCGTCCTTGGATTTTATCAAGGACTTGAGACAATTAGAAGGGGCTCCAGACCATATATGGCAGCAATACTCCAGGCAAGGTTGATTTGTAGATTTGAAGGATCGACTCCGGCGAGAAAAACTTCCTGGCGCGGCACAGGGAGCCTGTGGAAACTGTTCTGATTCGTGGAAAGATTCAGATTTATATCAATACAAAAGTTCGGATTTGAAGATGAGTCCAAATTCGAGGAAGTCTATTTGAGGATTTGGGGAGCGCTTTTGTATATCGGTATTGAGGGTAATGTTCTGGTTCCAGAAATAAAAGGCTTCGTATTTCTGTCAATACAAAAGTTCAAATTTGAAGATGAGTCCAAATTCGAGGAACTCTAGATTATGTTACGTTCGGACTTGGCGAGTGGTCGACTGTATTTTGATGATAGTTAGATAATCAGTCGGATACATTATGTCTCTTCCTGGGCTTCTCCAAATCTGCAAGTGTCTTGGATCTTATCTATCTTATATTCTGCTGTGTATACTTGCTATATTTGTGTTGTCCATTGTCTCTATTTCTGCACACTTTTCGTTGAGACATTCCTCTTTTCGCTTGCGTTGTTTTTAATTTCAATGTTTGATGTTCCATTCTTTGCATTTTGATTTTATTGTTATTACAACTGTATTCTATCTCCAGTTTTTTCAATGATGTTCACCATGTATAAGGCCTGAAGTCACTCGATGTAGAGGGTTACAGAGTAAGAGGTATAGTTTATTCGGATATTTGAGGAAGGTAAAACTTGAACCAATTAACATTGCAGGGATCGAGAAAGCATTCTCTTGGTTCATAGGAAGAAACCGCTTGGTTGGAACTTACATCTCACCAATGGTAAACGAAGGGAATGAAGGTGATTCGCTACAATGGGCGTGAGATGACGGGTCTTAGCTGTGAGAGTAAAAACTGATGGAACAAGGGAATGTAATCATTTCCATGGAAATAGCGATAATGCAGTGAGAGGCTTAGTTTCATCCATGAAAAAGAGGTTGCAGGATGGGAAATAATTTGTCCCCCACAAGGACACAGAGACGCTTTTGAACTCTAACGAGATTGGAAAGGGAGGACTGGGGACTTCTTAATTGATTTTATTTCCAGCTTCACCCTGACCCGGCAGGTGGACGGGGGTTAAACATGTTAGGGTCCCAGCTATGGGCAAATAGTGAACGCACAAAGAAAAACAAAACAGTATGTAAATATAAGAAATACATTTTTATAGTAAAAATACCACAATCTATTTTATATTAAAAATACTAACAATAAATATTTATAGCAAAATGACCAAACCTATTATATTAAAATTGCTTCAAAGCCCACAAGAAAATGAAATTTCGACATTAAATGACCGATAATGAATTGACATGCTTTTAAACAAACTAATCAACCAAACAAAGTCTGGTCGGCTGCTGTTATATATGTCAACAGTACTCCATTTTGGGCCTGCTCTGGCTCATGTAGCAGATAGTGGGAGAAATCATGTACTGACTAGCATGACACAGGGAACTGAATTTAGAAAATATTTGAACAATACACATGAGCCTTAGAATACAACATAATTTTATTTTTCATATTTGTTGTGGGGCTCTCCCCTTTTTATTTACATATGGACTCGTCCAAAGTATACTTATACTGACAGAGAGAATACCTGCTGTTGAGATACGTCGTGATACAGTCTCGACGTCTGTCGAACTCTCTGCTTTGGCAGAGAGGAACCCGGACGAGGTTTTGCCGAAGGGCAAGGTTTCGTCCGGGGAGGTAGACAGGCCCTGAACCCGTCTAGGCGGGTTCAAAGGGTATATTTTTGGCCGAGCCTCCGGGCTCAGAGAAACCCACTTTAAACTCTGCCTTGTGCCACATATATTCCTTGTGTGTGGGATATTAAATACAGAGATACGTTGAGATACGTTGAGATACGTGGAGATACATTGAGATACGTGGAGATACGTGGAGATACGTTGAGATACGTGGAGATACGTTGAGACAGGTTGAGAGATACGGAGAAAGACACAGGGTGTTCTCAGAGAGTTATACAAAAGTCCCGAGAGAGAGATGATTATGGCTTTATTTACAGAGACTTGTACATATACTTTCTACTAACCCGCATTCCTAGACTACTAATCTTCTCTTCAAGTCTGTATTCTTACGTTTAATACACTTATTTTTCTATCTCAATTTCTGGCGTTGTTTATTTATTTGTGCAGGATTCCATTCACGGAATCCACAACAATATTAATGACAGGATCCTCTCTTGTTTCTACAAAGCCCTTATTCTGACGTGTCCTTTAGTAGAAATGTAACATAATTCTCTTTTTTTCATTTTAGATCGACGCAGTTTCGGGAGAAATGATGTCCTTACATCTCTTTGCCCTGGGATTGTGCTTTTCCTTATTAATGTTCCTTATCGAAGGAGCGAATATTATATTTCTGGGTTTACCGATCTTTAGTCATCTCACCAGCCAAACTTCTGTTGCACGAGAGCTTCACAAACTCGGCCACAACTGTTACTTGCCAGTAACGAAAGAAATAAAAGAAGTTATAGGTGCCATAGAAGGTGTCAAATACTTACCTATGGAAATTAAATTCCCAGAAGTGTACCGAGTTTCCGGTCGCACGACACAGACCCCAAATCAACCAGAGAAAATCATCAAATCAAGAAGACAACAGGTACACGTTGAAATATGTGACGATTTACTTCTGAACGAACAGTTCTTCCAAATGCTGAAATCCATCAATGCTTCTTTATTTGTTATCGATGGTGTCTATATGAGCAATTGTTTGGCTGTACTTCCTTACCGTCTATCAACCCCTTTTATATTGATGGGGTCCCAGAATCAACCCAACTTGCACAGAACGCCTTGGCTCTTTTCTGTTTTTCCTCACAGGGGATTGGCATATTCAGACCGGATGTCGTTCCTAGAACGGTTCAAGAATATGATGTTCCTGCTTTCGGTCTATTTCAGAAAACCTCTGGGTAGCCCAAAACGCAGTATCAAAGAATACGCTCCAGAAAAACCGTCTATTTCTTTCGATGGCTTGCTTCGCAAAGCCGACTTGCACATTATTGAAAACGACGCCCTCTTAGACTATCCATTGCCAGGTCTACCCAACGTCAAATATATCGGAGGAATAAAGACCAGACCCGCTAAACCTCTGACTGGAGATCTGGGACGATTTGCGAATGCTTCTAAATACGGTTTGGTTGTTGTTTCGTTTGGAAGTATGATAACACCCCTTCCAGATATTCATTTAAAAAACTTAGAGCAAGCATTTACAAAGATTCCATACGACGTCATTTGGAAGAGAACGGATACCAATTCTTTTACGGCACCTAATGTCTTTACAAGCAAATGGCTACCACAGAACGACGTTTTGGGCCACAAGAAAGTGAAATTGTTCATCACCCATTGTGGTAGCGGCGGTCAGTATGACAGTCTTTATCACGGAGTTCCTATGCTTGGATTTCCGATTTGGGCAGACCAGCCGTTTAACGGTCGGAGAATGCAAGAGAAAGGTTACGGAATTTCAATGGACTTACATCATTACACGGCTGACGAGCTGGTGCGAAATATTAACAAGGTCATCCAAAATCCGAAATATAAAAATAACATCCAGAAAGCGAGTAGAATATTGAAATCAGCACGCGAACATCCATCCGTAAGGGCTGCACGTTACATTGATGACGTCATTAAGTTTGGGGGTGGTTATCTGCGTTCTTACTGTCAGGATATTCCTCCTTATCAGTATTTCATGCTTGATATGTTTGTAGTAACATTATTCGCTCTAATTCTCGGTATTTTCATCACCGTTTTTATTCTACGAAAAATGCTACATATATACTACGGAAAAAAAACTAAAGAAGATTAAGAAGTTTGAAAATAGAGCGCCGCCATATTGGATGCGCAAGAGAAGGTTAATGTTTGTGATGTGCGCAGGTGAGATTTATTTTGTGTTTTATAGGTTAAAACTAAAAAAAAAAAAATATTAATTTTATTTGATGAAGCCATGTAAGTTTTTATCCTTTCGACACCAGACACTTGTAGCAGATGGCGCTAAGAATGAAGGTTGTTAACACTCGGTGCGGATGTGGATGTGAAAATTCAAATTCAATGAATCCAACTTCTGTGCAGCATTTTCACACATATAAAGAACAACATAGCCCACAAAAGAAGAGAGAATATACATTTGCGCGTAGACAACTCAGAAAGTAATAGTAAGAAGTAAACATTTATGTTGTTAGCTGAGACGTGTGTGTGTGAATCACAAAACGTGGCTGGGTTGAAATTAAGCAGTCGGCTGCCCGGAGCGTGTCTCCTGAGAGGAAGACTAGACAACAACTTATACGTCTTGTGTATCCTATGAACTAGAGAATAAAAAAAAAAGATCGTGATAGGTTTTATCGCTTTTCTTTTATAGTATTGAATAGAACACCGCTTAGCAGCGTTAAGCGAAATCAGTTAGCAAAGTAACGTAATCCTACACACTGTTTTTTAAATCTGGAGAGCTCAAAGTTGATGAGACATTGAAATAATAAAAAAAATTCTCCACTGAATTTGTCAGTTTTCCATAATTTCAGAAATATTATTGCCAGTTTTAATTCAATTATAAATCTTAAGAAAACGTACTTTTTTTTAATATCCGACACAATTTTCGGTAATTGTTTTTTAATAATTTCTCGCCATGCAGGGCAAAATACAAGGTGTTAGAGTATGAGAATATGAATAAAAAAAAAGAAAATAAAAAAAAAAACACTATTAAGGAGAGAAGACACTAAAAGGAAAAGAATTAAGAAGACAGAAGATAACGATTAACATTGCATTTACATTTTTCAAGGTTAACTGTGAAGAAAGAAGTTGGAAGAAAGGTGCACAATCGAGAAATGCGATAGACGAAATTGTTAGCAAATAAGTTATGGTTACATCTAACCATATCAACAATAAAATGATGAGACCTTACCGCCAATCTAGGCTGTCTTTCTTTTTATGCACGGTGTCCTTTCAGCACGTGGGTGATCATGACTCTCCATTTTCCCCTATCCCTTGTAGCTCTCAATAAGTTTCGTTCCTCTGACACTTCCTCCAGACCACTTTCTGTCGTTCACTTGCTCATGCCCTCATTGTTTTCCCTTGTCTATCTTTCCCTCTATTCAACCTGTGAGCATCAGATTCTCCAGGCCCTCCTTCCTCATTACAAGTCCCACAAACTTCAGCTGCCTCTTCGTGATCTTAAGTATAAGCCTCTTTCTTGTTTGCATCCCTTCCAAGACCTCCTCGTTGCCCACATACTCGGTCCATGATATTCTCAGCATCCTTCTGTAGAACTACGTCTCCGTCGTCTCGAGTCTCTTCTTTATCTTTGAGGAGATCACCCCACGTTCGCTGCCGTAAAGGAGGACAGTACTCTTTTCTTTTTTAACAAAGTGATACTCCTGTCTTGAAATAATATCCAGCTTTTGGAATGCGCCATTGGCCATCCCAATCCATCTTCGGATCTCAACGTCGCACCTACTGTCCTCTGTCAAAACACTTCCCAGATATTTAAACTTCCGCACCTGCTTGATTTTAGTGTCCGTGATCTGCAAATCGCATTTTAGGCACATCCTCTTACTGATGACCATGCATTCTGTCTTCCTTTAACTGCGCTTAAATTCATAATATCTAGGTACCATCAGAACAATTACCATAGGCATATTTATAGAAAAGGCACAGGAAATTTCTGTTACGGTGGCGAAAAATTAACTGACGCCGAGATGCCAATTCAGGAACAATAACATTGCAAATTATTTTTTGGATTTTTTTCAAGATTCTCTAAATATATAGCAGGAGCACCGGACCAGATGTGTCACCAATATTCAAAGCAAAGATAGGTTAGAAATATGTAAGACACATTCGGGCGAAAAAATTAGCACGACAGAATGAACCAAATTTTTCATCTGTAGACCCAGCAATTGATTCAATATAATCTTTCCTCTTTGTGTCAGCGGAAAACGTTACGCCGAGAATTTCCGTTTTTGGTTATCAATGAGTCACTATTCTGGAGGTTAGCATCAGCTATACTGATGGAAGTTAAAAAGAAACCTTTGTATATATACTTTTTTTTATCCGTTTTTTGGTTATCAACATTATTCTTTAGAATAATATTAGGTCGAGTCCTAAATAATTTCTGTTTTTGGTTATCAACTTTATTCATCAATAAATAAATATTAGGTCGAGCCCTAAATAATTTCCGATTTTGGTTATCAACTTTATTCTTCAATAAATAAATATTAGGTCGTGTCCTAAATAATTTCCGTTTTTTGATAACAACTTTATTCTTCAATAAATAAATATTTGGTCGAGTCCTAAATAATTTCCGTTTTTGGTTATCAACTTTATTCTTCAATAAATAAATATTAGGTCGTGTCCTAAATAATTTCCGTTTTTTGATAACAACTTTATTCTTCAATAAATAAATATTAGGTCGAGCCCTAAATAATTTCCGATTTTGGTTATCAACTTTATTCTTCAATAAATAAATATTAGGTCGTGTCCTAAATAATTTCCGTTTTTTGATAACAACTTTATTCTTCAATAAATAAATATTAGGTCGAGTTCTAAATAATGTCCGTTTTTGGTTATCAACTTTATTCTTCTGTGACGTCGCCCCCCCTGGTCGCAGCGTCGACTCTGTCGTTCGATCTCGTTCGCGGCACTAGTTGTGACGTCACGTGCTCTCCAGGCTCTGATATCCTGGTCACGGACAGCACCAGTTGTGACGTCTTTGCCGCGGCGTCAGCTGTTCGCTCTTCGCTGCTCCAAGTGTGACGTTCTAACCCTTTGGTTAGATGAATATCAGCCTCGCCGTTCCCAACTCACTTCCAACGCCTGGTTACTAGGGTAACTGTATTGATCTCCGGTCTGCCTACCCACGTTGTGATTAGATCTTAGACAGACGGGATCAAACAGGGATTGGGGCCATAATATGCCAGCTGGGTTCAACGGGGTGATAACACACAAGTAAAAGAAAAACTCACGAGGCCAAAAATTATTGAAAAGAAAAGGGTAACAACCTTTTATATCTAAATGTTTGTTACACAAAATTGTTCCTACCTCCCGACCCGTTTTATGGACTGTTGCACCAAGCTTCTACTATACAACTTTAAGACTTCGAGTTGCCTGTTCTCTAGAAATTTGCATTTCGGGGTGTGGTTTGGTTTCGACACTGAGCGCTGATCTCTACCAGTCGTTCACGGCTGATTTCCCTCGCCGTCAGTGCGCGAATCAACTTCTTCTCTTCTGCTTCGGTTGGACGAGTGTATTCACTTCGATTTGGGCTGGGCGAATTTCTTCACTCCGGATTCTCTTGCCCGCAAAGGGGCGAATGAACCGGGCCCACCGCCCGCGTTCAAGCTCCCTCGCTGTCCGCCCTGCAACTCCAACTGATTTCTGTCGATTGGGGTCCTGCTTTTATTGACGCCGTAACAAACTGGGGTGGGTCTGTCGGCGCCAGGGTTTTCTTGATAATTCCAAAAGTCGCATTATTTCTGATTTCCCATTATCGCTCTTACTTTCACTCCTACTTCCTTACAGTGCCTCTGGGGGGAGGCGCATACCCGCTTCCTCTGGTCTCTCGTATGTCAGGTGACCGCTCTCGACCAAGGGGGTCCTGGTCGAGCGTCTTTCCTCCTCCCTCGCACATCACGTGACCGCTCTCGGCCAATGAGACTCTGGTCGGGCGTCTCTCCTCCTCCCTCATGTATCATGTGACTGCCCTCGGCTAATGAGACTCTGGTCGGTATCTTCCCTCCTTCCTTCGTGACGTCTCCAATCGGGCGTGTACAATCCGGGGCTTTGTTCTGGGGAAGAAACACCTTGCCAAAAAAACAAAATTTAAATTGTCTTTTTCGTATACGTGGTATTTGTCAAAACAGCCCGCCGCTAATTAGATGCGACCTAAAGAAATAATTTTTCCGCCTTGTCGGCGTCTTCCGCGAGCTAAAACAAATATTTCACCTCTTTCCTTCGCTCGGGCCTGTTAACAAAATCTTAATTATCTAAATTGAAAATATTCTTCACTCATCATCGTGGGTGGTTCTTATCTTCAACTCTAGAACTGGTCAGGGTTCGTGTACCAATGTTTTGTTTTCGTATACATTTCCCAGCGGCCACTTATCATCTCAATGACACCCCTTTTCGTTCGTTACCTATTAATATTTTTTTCCATTGTCCTTAAAATCTTATTTCTTCAGCCAAATTGATAACAAACTCCCATACTCCGCGGACACGAAAGTAGGTCAGGTGCTTGACCGACATCTGTTATGCATCAATCGCGCGTGTGCCTATCCGCTCACTACCCCGTCTCGTATCATTATTTCTAAACTCTATTCCTTCAACCAAATATAACAATTTCTATTTTCCCTGGATTTCGGTCAGGTACTTTGACCTGGATATCTTTTGACGCGTGTTTTGCTTATGACCGGGTTTTGTACTATCTATTTCTCTTTCTCTTTCTTTTTATTATTTTTTTTCTTTCTTTCGAATCGCCTAAATGCAATTAGAGAATTATTCTCAAAACTCAATTATTCTTCGTCTCTAAATAACTATCAACTGGTTAACAAACCGAATAAAAATAAATCATATTTTTATGAATATCTCTTTTCAGTTTTCTAATAATGCAGGGTGCCACAATCCTCCCCTAACCGATTTGTCATTTACCCGTAAATGACACCTAAACCCAATTACATCATTTAACATGCACCATGCATTTGTCTCATGCAATTCTATTCTACTTTCTTACATGCAAGGGTAATGTTCTTTTCATCTTTTTTTGTTTTACATGCAAAAGTAATGTTCTTTTCATTTTCTTTTGTTCTACATGCAATGTAATGT